AAAGAAAAAACAATGACAAGCTGTGATCTGTGATGTTGCACATTTGTATTTGTATTTATTTTTAACAGGTAATTACCCCGGAGAAGAACTTCACTTTACAGCATCTACCTATTTAGTGTGTGCATCAACAACAAAAACAACTTAGACTTCGTGCCATTATAGGTGTCAAAACAAGGTATTTACGAAGACTAAATGCCCAAGCTACAGCAATTCCATCACAGCGTAGGAACAATCAACCAGATGTTTTGTCATTAGGTATCATAGCAGTGCTGTTCATCTCAACCATTCGACAAGGACAGGCTTTTTACAATAGCATTTAATGAATCACTTTAAGGCTGATGTTATTTTAGTAGAATCCATGTCAGCCCTCGGGAACCATATATGTAATTTTATCACGTTCCACAATCTGTCTGCACCATCTTTTTACTTCAAGGTGAAGGTCATGAAAAAAATTTCAATTATATTCTTTGAGAAGAGCAAATTACATTTCATGAGCTGCGGTCACAAATACAAAGTTTTATAAAGTAATATAATGACGTACCACTTGATCTGCCATTCTTACTCCCACGCCTATCTCCATTTTGCTTTTCTCTCAGGAAAACTACAAAGAGAAGGTGTCAACTGGTTTTGCCATATTGATGGAGCCGGGGGTCTATGGAGACCTCTAATTTTCTGAGTGAACGGTCCCAGAAAGAGCTAATGATATGTTAATGCTGAATGGCAGACATTAGGGAGGCCAAATGACGGCAATCCCAATTACCTCCGAGGGACGTGCCTTGTGTGGTTTTGTCACGCAAACAAACTCTGTAAACACAAATAACGTGCGGAACACTGGCTGAAGGGACTCCGCAGCGGCTGACAAAATGTCACCGATCTGAGAGAAGATCCTTACAACTTATACTCAAACACTGAGTACGCCTCCACACTTTTTTAGCTGTGGGAAAAAAAGCTAAGCGCACCTCATCATGAGAGATTTGCATCGTCTGTTTCCTAAGAGAACAATTATGCAAGTTCATACCTTTCCAAAAATGTCACAAGACTTGCAAATCTTTGAACATATTGCCAAAAACTTTTGATTGTTCTCATTTTTGCCCTTTTATAACTTTTCTGCAAATGCCAGTTTGGCAGCAATACGGGGTACCATCGTGTTTACTTTAGCAGCAGTAGCTGTCTGGGGGGGATGAAGCAGTGGGAGGAAGTTAGTTTTGAATGGCACAAGATTGAAATATGCCACAGCAGACGTTTTTTAGTCCCAGCTTCCCCACTTGTACATATCTCCTTGTGTGGGTTTACCTGTGAATGTATCTGTTAGTATGTATGTGTTCCTGTTTGGCTAGGCTTAGCTGCAGATTGCTTTCCCCTATCCCCTCCTCTAGTGTGTGCAGCATATGGCCATTGTGATGGAGGGTAAAAGGAAATGACAGGCCATTTGAAGATGCTCTAGTCCCTGCATCATGAATAATGCAGAGGGTGAAGCGAGCAGGTTCTCAGCGCAAGCTTCAAAGTTTATCGGCCTCCCCTGTCTCCCTGGGAGAGAGACTACAGTGCTGCGGGGAGATTAGACCGACACCGAGCGGGGACCTGGTCAAACTCAATTAAATACAACCAGGATAATTCCATCCTCTCATTGTGCCATTTGGTTTTATTAGAAAAATAAACCCAGCATGCTCACGCCTTGAAACGACAATAGAAAGGGAAAACATCTCGTGAATTATTAAGCGGGGAGTTGGCTCCATGCTTAGTTGCTCCATGTAAAGATATGTAAATTGGCGGATGGCAGAAGACACGATTGATTAATATTTTTATTAATAATGTCAAACACCCTATGATCAGCAGTGAGAGAAATGGCAGAATAACAATAAACAACACCGTCCAGACTAAGTACGACTGAGATGTGTAGTAATAAAATTCCAAAGAAAGTGGTGTTAAACCTTTGCTGATTGGTTCTAATAGTCCCAGTGATAGATGATTTATTAGTCTTTTTGATTAGCTTGTCTAATTGAGCTGAGCTAGCTATGAAAAACCCAAAACAACTACCGTTAATTTTCCTTGTTTTTTTTAATATGCATGTTTCCTTCCACAGTTTCCGAAGTCTTTGGAGATCTAATTAGCCCAAAAGCCCCTCCTGATGGGAGATGTAGGCCTACAGAAACACTTCCCTCCACCGAGGCTGTTGTAGCATGTAACTATTTTCCGTGTCTACACGATAAACAAACACTTATGCCACCCACATACTCAGTGCCATATCAAGCCTGGCTTGGCTAATGATGATAAACCTACATAAAAGTACAAAGTGCTGCTAATTAGGCCTATGTCGATTATGGCTCATTAATGCTGATGTTGCCCTGACATGTTTTTGCCAATCATCACTGGAGAGGGCTGCAGTGCATCATTTTCTAATTACTTTAATTCATCATTGTACTGATGCTCTAAGCGAGTTCACATCAGCTCCACGGTCAAATGTTTAAATGGAAATTTGTGTAAAAAATGACCCAAAATAAATTTTTGCACATAGTGGCCTGACAAGCTGATCTTGCTGTATTTTTCTCGCAAAATCTCTCCTTCAGTTGTCCATAATGAAGAAATATGGTGATGTAACAAAATCTGTAAATGCAGTCATCCAACCAAGAAAAGGAATATTGAAAAGAGCACAAAGCACCTGTTAAACCATATTGTATATATCTATCGAATGTCATGCCAGGAAACGTTCAGATAAGTTTCCAGGAACTCAATTTTTATCAGTGGCAATTTCATTGTTCTCTAAATTATCTTGTTTTGACCTTTGAAAGCCAAGACGAACGGCAGCCTGTGAAAGATGAAGCAGTTGCCAATCTTACTGATTTCATATCGCATTTCCTCTTCCACGCTGTCCAGTTTTGTACACACAGTGGACATCGATGTATGAATGATAGATCAATTTTGAGTCATTTCCCAGTGATAATCCCACATTTCTCTTCTTTTACACTTCATTACCCTAATCTTGCCACTATGACCTACTTTTCCACTCCTTCCCAGTTCCCCAGGCACTCAAGGAGCAAGATGTTGCACTCCCACTTACACACATACCTCTCAAGAGAATTATTTATATTGCCCAGGTCTGGGACCAGTCTAATTTGGTGAAGCTATAGAGTACACAAACCTCAGGTCTGAGATCTCTTTTGCTGAAGGCAGGAGAACTGTGAGCGCTGCGGCGCGAGACAGAATAAAACATGGTGTTGCAATGGCCTTTGATCTTCCGTTCCCTCCTTTTCTCTTTTTCAAAGGACCAGCGTGGAGCTGTCCAGCTGATGCCAGAGCAGGGGCCCCATTTCTCTGCCACCAACAGACACCCCGGGACAGATGGCCAGCAGATTATTTATTTCTATTTTTATTCTATATGAGAGCAAGAAAACCGAGACACACTTTCTTTGGAGTTTGTTTCATGCTGGGTGCTCTCAGATATAAACAACATCTCACATGCATAATTATAAGTCTCTAACTGGCTTAGAAGTAAGCCTATATAAACCTGGCAAAAAGCACACTTAAAACGCATTTTATGGTTAATACTCACCTGAACCTATGAATTGATTATAGATATTCACTTTACACAACAAAAACACACAGAATGTAAAACTATAAACAGCATCACAATTAAATAAATTCTGCTTTGAATCACATGAAGTGTTGTTGTTAGAAGCGCTAAAAATAGAACCGTGTAATTGCACGACAGATGATCTTAGTCACCTGTGTTGTGCGAAGCTAAAAGCCATCCGCGGGGAATGATTTCCTTAACAGGCAGCCAAGAGGTCAAACACTATTAGCGATGTTCCAGTCGACAATCTGAAGGAAAGCATGTTCCTCATCTCGCTGAGAGTCTCTGAAAATGGGCACCTCTTTGTCAGGGCAATTTGTTGATGATGCATGGTTATGATAAGAATTGAGTGAAGTGTCTGTGGCTGCCCAGGGCCTTGCCAGCCAAGGCGGCGGGGCCAACACAAGTAATCAGTCGAGGTCCAGATTGAGCCCCCGATAACACGGGGTCCCTGATTGCTCATAAGTACCCAAGGCAGCGGCCATTTAAAACAATTTCTGGTGATTTTGATTGACAGTCGGTCAATCAAAACCCACATCTTGTTGCTGCTGCTATCAGTGCTGGAGATTACATCGGATGTCTTTGCTTGAGCCGCTGTCTTTCTGCTTCGATAAAGGAAATCTCATACACTTTATGTGTTCCGACAACTGCGTCAGGCTATATTATTACTTCAGTTTGTGTTGGGATAATTTTCTGTTTCATAAATTTTGCGCTTATTAATTATATATTAATATTTTACCTATGTTTCATTTCACTCTACTTTTTAACCCTACCCTTTCTTCCACGCTTCAGGGTAGCTTTATAGTTGTCTTTTTGGTTTTTAAATTTAATTGATTGAATGTTTTTCCCTCAGTTCTCTTCCAGTACTTGAGTTTTTCATCCACAGGTTTTAGCTGCATCCTTTTGGTGGGCTATGTGTAGCTCTCAAAAGTAATTTTTGGGGGCTTTTAAATATGGTATGCACGAAGCTATCGTGCATTATAACCCATAAATATGTGAAGAAGAATACTATCCACATCTTCGCTTGTAGGTTTGCGTGAACTGCATGACAATGAGCACATATGGTGACCTTGGTTACTCCTGACTAACACTTGAAAAATCTTACATGTTCTGTTTTTGCCAGGTTCAAAGCTTAAGAAAGTATGTCAATACCTGTAAGGAGATGGCATATTTACCAACCAAAGATGCATAACAATTTCATTGCAATCTCTTGCATCATTGTAAATTATACTGTCAATTGTATTCATGAACCTCTGAGTGCATTAAATGGAAAGAGATGCTAGTTGTCTACATTTTGACTAACACCTCTAAGGTGCAGGCTATAAACACAGCTGGCAAAAATATATTTTAAGGAAATGACAAAACTGGAATTAAATGTAAAGAAATATATAATATGTATATCTGTTTGCCTTATAGTTTTAGTGTTCAGACACCTGTGGTATTGAAAGTGAAAGGCGGATACTTTCCACTAATAAAATTCACACGGTGTGGTAATTTTATTACCACACCGTGTGGTGTGGTAATTGACATCAAGTCAAAAAATGAAAATATTTACTCAAAAAACACAAAATCTGGAATATTGGTCAGGCTTCTGTGAACTTAGGCTTTCTCATTTGCTTCTGTGACTTCATGTAACTGCAAACCGACTCTTTTTCTCTCTCTGTCCATATATATGTATATCTGGAGAGTGAGTTTTCATAGTCAGTGTGATGAACGTTGTGGAAATGGTCAGTTATAAAGACTGAATTTGTATGGTAACTACCTATTACCATTGATGTCTAAAAAAATGACTTGTTGGTGTTACACTGGTAAAATATCCTTTTAATATTGTAGTTTCACTAACTATAAAACATGCACCAGCCATACTTTAAACCAAACTCTGATCTTTTCAAAATCTTTTGATAAATAAACCTCATGGAGTGGTATTTGCTTGCCCTCCACAAAACAAAGTGTAGGGTAAAAACTAATGAATAAGCTTGTCTCACATTTCACAAATTACTGTGAATCGCTTTGTAAATAACATCCTCATATCTTGCTGTCCTCAAAAAAATAGGCCACAATGCTTGACAACTGTAGACCATGATTTTTGCTATATGTATGCATGTATACATGAAGTTTTAATGCCAAAATTATGCATTTGAAAGAATTTTGGGGATCCTATGAAAGCAGAAAGTAGTGCACATTGTTTATTTGCCATTTATCCTATTCCACCTATAATCATCTTTTTACTTTATTGTTCAAGCTTGGCTAATTTACAAAAATAGCGCTCAAATGGCCAAACATGAACCTTGCAATCACCACACAAGCCTCCGTGGAGTGTGAATGCTTTGTCACTACAAGGCCTTTCAACTACTTAAAGGCACATCAAAAAATGTATGAAAAAAATAAAGTTCTCTTTTCTCTTTCTTCCTCCTTCTTCTCCCCAGTTACTTGAGATCCCCAAATGCGCAGAGAATAAAGTCAAGATTTTTTTAGTCATTAATTAGATGCTCTTTTGGATTTTAGTTTTTAGTTTTCATAGAGTTCATGTCTATATATTTGTACACATGTTCAGAAGGATTGAAAGAAAGTGCTTCGATATTTTAAGGAACTGAATGTCAATTTTATTTTCAGCAAAAGATAAAAACATCATTTGCACAGTTCTGCCTCTTCAAAATAAATAAGAATACATATCAGTGTACATGTGGACACCTAGTTGTAACATAATTTGTTTAAGCTGGAAAAGAAAATTGGCACAAAATGATTATCATACAGTGTGTCCTTTCACCATCAATATTCAAACCACTGACATTATTTACTTCATTTCTGAAAGACAATATATGCTGGAACCTGCAAACTACAGAAGCAAAAGTCATTTACTTACAAACTGCAACTTCACCCAGGTTAGGACCGTCACTTCAGAAACATATATTTATTTTTTTACTCTAGGCAGTGTGAATTTGCAATCAAGCACAGCGAGGACAGATCCATCAGTGACAGTTTCTGGTGTAGCAAACATTCCCAGACCCAACCTGCCTTGTACAAAAGCAAAACAACTAAATCCTGACAGATTATACCTCAGAAATTATACATTTGACTTGGCAATAGAAAGGCTGAAGAAAAAACAGACTGAGACAAACACTACATTGCAACTTCTGCAAAATGTATTGTTGGGAGAAGAAGAGAAATGATGTTTTCCTGTTTCACCCAGTGGAGACATCAAAATGACGAGCATGTCATTCTTTTTATGATTTGCACAACTTATGTCTTCACATCATTTCCTTAGCACATCAAATACTTGTTTATACTTTATTATATGTGTGCAGTTGCACTTCATATAGTGTTGAAGGATATTTCTGAGTCCGTGAATAATGTGGCTCCGGATTTCAGTGTTTGTGAAAAACAGCCCCTCATCACCCTGCTCCCCGTCCCAAAGATAGAAGAAGGAGAAGAAAAAAAATCCCATATAAATTGCTGTCAAATTTCATATGAACAGTCAAGTGACTACTGATTAGCCGCTAGAGACACAGCCTTTCATGAGAAATTTTTTATGTTTTTTTAGCACAAAGATAGCAAAGGAATGCTTCAAAGCAAGAGTGCTGGGCCGGTGCCCATCACAGGAATGAAAGGACAGGTGCCTCCCCGTAAAAATGCTCCAACATGTATGCATTCTGCAGTCAATGGTTGGACCCAAGCCCAAAATCTGAAACCTTTAATGTCTTTTCCACACAAGGTTTCCTCCTCAGTCAAGCCACTTTTGAAGTCCGTGTCAAAACTCACCATGGCACGATTTTCAAAATCCATACAGGGAGGTAAACAAACCAAAAAAACCTTTGAAGTCAAAGTGTTTTTCTTTCAGTCTCTTGTGTTGTCTTTGAATCTTTTCCTCCAATGCACTAAGGCAGACAAAATCATTTTCTCTGACAATAAATTACTATTATTTTTTGGAGTCCCACAAATGTTAAGAAACACATTTAGTGGCTATGACAAGACAGTGGTGCTATCGCTGTTGCCATACAGGTCGGCCAGCTTTTTGAAGCGTGGTCCCCAGTTGCTGAGATAGTCATAGTTCTGATCTGAGTCTGTACTTAGTGACTCCAGTGAGCTTAGCGACTCAGCTACAGAGCCGCTACCTTCAAAAGCATACGTCTGCAGAGAGTCGTACGGGGGAGCTGATGGGTCCACGTCGGCATCCTTCAGTCGCTCCCAAATAAACTCTCGAAACACCACATTGTCTGGTAGGGATTTATAGGATGGGCGAGAAGCTGAGGGGTAATGAAAGAAAGTAGGGGTATCTGGTGTGACGTCTCGTCGTACATTGGGGTCTCTGATGACATTGAGGTTACGCAGGGTCACCATGTCGAAGGCCTCTGTGTCCTCCTCGCCCCCTCCCTCATCGTCATAACGGACGATGTTTTCTCTGATATCTCTTTCCTCTTCCAGAATCAGAGGTTCTTTTCTTCTCCGACGCATTGTCACAATTAGTAGAACCATGACTGCGAAGAAAAGCAGAAATCAGTCAGTAATAAGTGACATTCTTTCCATTCCAATCAGCTGAAAAGATGCAAGGACAGATGAAAAAAAGTAATTTCCACCTAAGAGTGCTTGTACTTTAAGAGTTCATAACATAGAACAAGTGGGAAGCTTGCAGAGAGGCATGATGCAATTGAGTGTGTTGGCAAACAAGTAAGAGATACAAATTATCATCTTACTGTAAGCGCTTGAATCGGATTGCATTCGACTGAAGTGCTTAAGACAATCATGACTAGACATGAGACACAAGATCATGAGAATCTACGCTGATATAAATTGTTTGAGGTAATTTAAATACATGCTAAAAGTAAATGAAACAAAAACAAAACAAAACAAAGCAAAACACCTCTTTATAGCAACTGAACAAAAATGGCTGAAAAAGGTCCTGAGAGGGAAAATGATTCAGATGGGCGTTCAAGCATGGAAATATAGCAGTTAGCTTAAATAGATGATTGAAATTGTTCGCTAAAAGTAACTGAAAATAAGTTTAGTAAATATCAAACTGTTGCAGTGATAAGCTAAAAGCAATGCAGCTAAATAGTTAACTAAAGTAACTGACTGAAAAAGCTCTTAAAAGAAATTAATAAAGGTTCAAAATGGGTGATCAAAGTAATTAATAAATGCTAGCTAAAAGTAGTTAGCTAAATCTGATATTTAGCTAACATTAACTGAACGGGTAAACAGCTGCTGGGTAAAACAACAATGGATGGAAACTGACAAACAATCAAGGTGTCCAAAAATGATGTATGATTATGTTGCACATAACGGGTAACTGTTCAAATAGAGCACAAGTGCAAACTTCATCACATACCCAACTTTCAGACCAACAAATGTAGTGCGGAATATTTACTATCCGTTTTGTTTGCTTATTCAAGTCAAAGTCAATGGGGACCGGAGCCTATTGCAGTTGCCATGGGCTGAAAATTGGGGTACAATCTGGACAGGTTGATAGCCCATCACTCACATTTACACCCATGACCAATTTAGAGCCACCAATTAACTTCTCCTGCATGTCTTTAGACTCTGAGGGGAAGCCAGATTACCCTTAGCGGGAGCTACTTGCTGTGATGAGACGGCGCTAACCACCATGCTGCCTATAAACTCAGTCAATAAATAAAAAATGCACACATTTGGTGGGTGATGTGTTTCCTCACTGACTGGGTATTGATTCATTCAGGGCTTGTCGGAGCATGTCTGATAAAATAGCTTGGAAACCGCCGCCCTATCAATTCAATGGTAGTGCTTTGCAAATTCTATTAGTTACAAAGCTAAAACTGTTATATAATATGCTGTATTTCGTCCCTCTGTGTTTTCCACCTCCTACGTTTTGCTTCAAGACTTGTACAAAACTCCACCAAACTGAAATCCTTGGTCCTCTGAGATCTTGCCAGAAGCCCTCCTCCAGCCCCTGTTCCCTCTCCCATACATTATTGCTGAAAATAACTCTACGCCCAAGCAAACTGGCAAATGTCTAATGATCCTCTATCCATCAATGTCAGGCTGGTGCCAGTGAAATATCGTTCCGTGGGCCCATATTTCTTTTCCTTCTCGGCATCAAGCTACTGCAGGCAACACAGAAAGAGGCCCTGGATCCAAATTCAAACACCACTTCACACCCTCTAATAAGGGAGCAAATGGAAGAGATGGAAGGCAGGAAAGTGTCACATGGAAACACTGCAGGAGATGAATGGACAGCTCTCTGTGGGCTTTTTGGTGACTGTGTGTACCCTATAACAAAAGCACTATGTAGTAGTATATAAACCAGATTTTGTGAAATATTTGGACTAGTCCTTCACTCAAACAATGCTACCAATATCCATGATACTTTTCAGTGCTTTGGGAAAGAATGCCAAACATTTCTGTGGAAGATTTTAAGCAACTCGAGTCGTTCTAAATTCTATTCAAATCAGCAAGGCTTCTCCAAAGTGAATTACAAAGTGGCACATTGAAATAGAATATTCTCAGTGCTTTCCAGCAAAGCTCTTTAGGTTTTAATGCCTAGAAGGCAGCCACAATGCATCACAGACTGGAAACGGGCCAACATCCAATCACAACCCAAAGGATGAGCAGGTGGATGGTCGGGCATACAAATAGTCAGTCTGTGTCAGGTACCAGGGGTCTTGTAAGAGATGATTTCCAGCCGAGGCAGTTTAACAAACACAACCGTGAAATGACAGGAGCCGCACTTTTCATAGCACATGTACTGAAGATGTATACTAAATCACAAATAGACAAAAAGAAGATCAATTTAGTGCTACAAAGGCTTTTGCTGTAATTGAATTGCTTAAATGATCTACCCCACACAATCGATTGCAAACAAGGTGAGTTTTCAGTGTTGCCCTTTTCTTTCCAGCAAGCATCACTTTCTCATTAGAGTATTTTTCTATGCGCTGTGATTCTGGTGAAGCCAGGACTGATTATTTACTCATTTTGTCACCCACACACAATCTATGTCTCTTCGTTGCAATGTAATTTATGAGAGGTATTAATCAGCAGCTGTGAGGCTGTCTGACATGAGTGGAAGCTCAATGTTTAAATACTAATTAATGGTACACAGACAATTGTTAATGCCATTCATATTTAAAAAAAAGAAAAAGAAAAGAAGCACCGCTTTAAAATTATTAAGGACTCTGAAGACCCATTTTATTACTCCTACTATGAGTATTGATGCCCAGAATGAAGATAATTTTCTGACAACTTTTAGCACTTTCTACTTTTCTGACCTCCCCTGTGTGCTTTTGAGTGCTTTTTTCACTCGCATGCACTAAATCAGAATTTAGAAACATACTGAACTGGTACATCTCTCCAAGCTACATCTGCATAGATCATATGTAGTGAACAGCTAAGTTTTTTTTTTATTAGTTTATTTTTTCTCACTCTAGTTAGTATAGTTAGTTAGTATATCACTTTTTGTTTAGTATCAGTCGTTTCGATAAGGCCACTTTGGATGGACAGAGCTCTACTGCAGTGATTAAAAGTCCACACAGCCAACCAATCCAAAATAGCCATGAGAAGCATGAAGACCATCAGGATAACATATGGAGTACAAATGAGGGAACATAACATAAAAATGAAACACAGGACTATAAATACACACAGAACAGTAAATAGGGAGCAAGAAACATGTGAGGGCAGAACACTGGTGGACACAGGTAATGGTAGTTAGGAGGGAGGAAGAAAGAGGCAGGGAGTAATACAAAAGAAAACAACCCTTCAAAGTAAAACAGAAAATAACCAATGATGAAGCCCACAAACACCATCCATCCATCCATCCATCCATCCATCCATCCATCCATCCATCCATCCATCCAAGCTGGTATTGGATGAGAGGCTGGGTACACCCTGGACAGGTCACCAGCCTATTGCAGGGCCAACATGGAGAGACAGACAACCATTCAAACTCAAATTCACGCCTACGGCCAGTTTAGAATCTCCAGTCAACCTAACCCCACGTACGTCTTTGGACTGTGGGAGGAAGCCGGAGTACTGATCCAGACACAGTGAGAACACCACCAGAATCAAAAACACGAGAACAGCAGCAAAGTCAAAATTCTCAGTAATATTAAAAATGGATCAAAATCATGGCATCATAATGGCGTGTTGCCACAGGCTGAGTTTTTATTAAAAGTTATTAAACATTTTATTTTTCTTTTCAAAGATGAATTGGATAAACTAAAGAACATCATATTAAAACATGTTGTGACCCAATTATTATCTCAGTCAAGCTCCTATGTAGGCATGAGAAATCACTAACATCAGCATTCTTAAGTGATGAGATAGCAACATCTTCCAATCATGTCTAGGCTGGTCGCTGAAAGTTGCTTTATGGCTATGATCCAGAGACCAAACAGCAGTCAGTGGACCAAAGACCTAAGCAGGACCCAAGACCAAGCATGGATGGGTCACCTTCTTAACATTCACGAGATTATTGCCAGTTTGGTATTGAACCATTGTAAAGTCTCTAGTCAGAGGGCACTTTGAATGTGCAACTTTGCACCTCTAATATTTTAATGATTCAGAGCCAGTGAGCCTGTTCTTTTTTATTTTATGCCAAAAAGCACAGCAACGCCTGAAAAAGAATTGCTGTATGATATTACTATTGATTTCTTTTGTAAAATGGGGATTTTTGGTATTTTGTAAGACATCCACTGTCCTGAAAAATACCCCCATCAACATAAAAATGCAAGAAATGATGCCAAACACTGTTAAGAGCAACAGGTGGTGATAAAACCCTAACCATATAGAAATGTTCTTTAATCAGAAGCATAAAACTATATCATTGTGCACAGTGTGATGTCAAAAAAGGAGATAAAGGTACACACAAGACAAAAACCTTCATCAGTGAACTGAGATGGCCTTTATGCGTGGAAGGCCAAAACACACAGAAAAAGCTCTGTGCTACAAAATACCCTTGTACATGTAGACAGGGATTAAAACAGCATTTGACTGTTAGTGTGTGGGTTGTTGTAATGAGACTGAGGTAGGTTTGTATCTGACTTGGTAAAAATAAATAATAATTCCAGTGTCTATACATAGTTTTGCAAAACAGAGAGCAAATCAAGTCTGAAGGATTTGACTTAAATGCCATCCACACACAGCTTCACTCACCGTGACCTTAAAGTTGGATATTTTTAATAATTTAAAATCAGAGATGAGCCCCAAAGTAAAGTTTTGAAGTGATCTGTTTTGTTGTCTCCAACCAAAACTCAAAAGCAACAACAAAAAAAACACAGCCTCGCACTGCAGAAGCAGATGATTGGCAAACGACTGACACAATTAAGCGATTTTCAAAACAGCGCCTGATTGGGTTTCTGAAGGTGATATTTAATAGTGACAGACCTATGATTTCTAATTACAAGAACAAAGAACAGACAAGAAAGGAAAGGGACAGAAAATAACAGTGTCAAACCAAGGAGGTGTCACACCGCTTCAGAAACATAACAGATGTCGCTCTCTTCTGGGG